AATCAGGGTACGCTGTGGGGTGATGAAAATGGTCACTTCGGTACGACCCTCTTGAGTAAATGATTATCTTCTGTACAACGATCTACAAATGGCGAATAGCCCATGAAAGAAACTATCTGTCCATCCGCTACCATAGATGTTGTAGGAATTCCTAATGTATGGAATGAGTGTGCTATCTCTTGTATAGAGTCGTACAATGAAGCCTCACGTCTAGTGGTGTTCCTCGGCTGGTTCTACAACGACTATAACTACTGGCGAACTGAGACGCCGACCAGCCGACGACAGCCGCGAAGACAAGGAAGATCTATCGCAGCTCTTCACTGTAAGATGAGCAACGACACTCACACTAAATGTTGAAGGCCTAAGCGCCATTCTGGATGCACAGTCCGGGGTCAGCAGCAGATGTCTGTCAAGCACCAAGAGCGGATGTTTAGCGAGATGATAACACGCATGAGAGTTACGGTCGCCTCTTCGCGCCCGACCACTCCATCAGCTCCCGTCATAAGGGACGAACGCGTTACGAACTCCCTCCCATCGCGACTGCCTTGATTCGTGTGCCTTCCTGACAACCGCTGTTGTTCGAAAACTGGAACAATCGTCATCGCAAAGGACGAAGCCACGCTAGACGAGGCAGCGAAGGCTCTACTAACGTCTCCAAGCTTGGCGCAGTCACTTTTGCTAGCTCCAAAATATCCTCCCGAAAAGGGCATGCGACGTTCCCTTGAGAAAAACTGTGAGAAGCCCGAAGGAATTGTTTGGCCATGCCGCTCCACCTCACACAAACGTCGTCCACCGAGGGCACGCTATCGCGTTATGAACATTTTCCGCTAAATACGACATCCCTCCGCCCCTCCAAATAGGGGTCTTAATACGACCCTCCCCCATGTCACGAGGGTACAAGCGAAAAGAAGCGCACAAGGGACGAAGAAAATGACAATAAAGAGAACTAAACACTATTGAACTATTCCTACCTCAAGAACTCAAAAAATTTTTCGCTGAAACTTTATCTACAGATGTTATTCGATATCCTGACCACGAGTGTGACATCATTTCTCCATACCAGCGCTATTTAGCGCTCTCTGAGGCAGAAACTGGGAAAGGAATGATCCTCAGGCCAGTCTTAGCAAAGCGCAGATGACCATAGTTTCGTAGCATCGGAGTATGGTGCTGTCCCGGAGTCTCATTTCTCATCTGAGTGTGTAATAAATGTGAAACTCCAAAAGTTTATTACAAAAAACTCAAAAGACAGCGAAAGTCTTAAAAGTTTGTTATAATATATCTTAACTTGCAATATTTCGGGGCGTAGCACCTTCGTCACGCCTGAAAATATTTAGCTTGCTTAGTTGGTTATATTTTCTACAAAGTGCAACCCGCACGGACCCCACCCCCACCAAGCCACTTACCAGTTGTCCCGAAATGAATGACCAACCCACCCCAACCATGCCCTTAAACAGTGGGATGCTCGTGGCGCGATCACATTATCGCTTGCATGATGTCACGCAGCTCCTCCCTGTTGTTGGTCGCCAGAAATAAACAGCAGGGTTGAGCTGCGTGACATCATGCAAGTGATAATGTGATCGCGCCACAAGCATCCCACTACTTAAGGGCATGGTTGGGGTGGGTTGGTCATTCATTTCGGGACAACTGGTAAGTGGCTTGGGTGGGGGGGGGGTCCGTGCGGGTTGCACTTTGTAGAAGGTGTAAACAAGCTAAATATTTTCAGGCCTGACGAAGGTGCTACGCACCGAAATATTGCAAGTTAAGATATATTATAATTGGGACTTTCACTGTCTTTTAAGTTTTTTGGAATAAACTTTTGGAGTTTCACATTTTTACTACACACTCAGATAGTTTCGTACGTTAACGCCGGCGCCAAGAATAAATGTCATATTCGTAGTCAGGATGTCAAATAACCCTCTTATACAAGTTTTCACTGATTTTGGTAATTTAAGGCGTTTTGGCCCCGGCGCCTGTGGCGCGGCGCCAAAATACCCTAAATGACCAAAATCGATCGAAAGTTTAGAGCAGAGCGGACGTGATGTTCGTGTTCAGGAGGTCGAAGTACCACTGTAACCAAATTTCCTCCAAATCTGTCTTAGAAAACAATCGATAAAAAGCGGCCTGATTTCGGCAGACCGGGGTAAGAATTGTTCGATAGCCAAAAACTATAACACAAGCTAGAAAACTAATAAGAAACAAAAAGAAACCTAAAAACACTACCAAACAAACGATGAGAAAAAAACTCACCAGAAATACTAAAAGCCAGAATTATGGATTAGCTCTTGAATATAAGTTGTTCGCGGTCATTCAGAGGTGAGCGCACAAATACAAAGGGATTGGGGCGAGTTATTTTACGACACGAGGCCAGTTCCAAGCCAACACTTGAAAATTCCCCCTCACTTGAACACCCACAACTTATTTGAGAGTAAAGTTTTTGGAGAGGGGAAAGCAGGAATGAGGGGAAATAAGTTGGCACTTGTTACCTGATTTTGAGCTATTTCAAAAAACATCCTTTTTGAGGAATTTTCTCCGGTGATCCTCTTGTGATCATGGGGGATCAATTACAGGTCGCTACGCTTTGAACATCCATGGCGAGCTTCATAAAGGGCCTTTTGTAAAAAGAAAAACAGTGTCAGAATTATAAAGCTTTCTACTTTTCAGCAAGACTTTCATTTTATCCCTAGGCCTGCTATTCGAAAAAATTCCCCGTTGTGATCACAGCGTGATCATTGCTCCACGACACGAAAAATCAATCCCTCCGACGCCATATTGGCATCACGTCTGCAATGCGCCATGCATAGCGCTTTCACGCAGAGCTATTGGGAAGGTGCAACTTCTATAAAGAGCTTCCTCCGTGCAAGTAGATGTGCTTCTGCGACAGGAAGGTCCGGAAGTGTATTTTCATCTGTTTGGTAATTCATGGCGGATATTCATTGGCGTGGAGGTGGTATACTGATAAGTGGCGCGCTTACCACTCGCACGATGCCGGGTTCAAATCCCGGGTCGACCCTCGCCCAGGAAAACCAAGCCTTCTACCCTCCGGGGACGGTAAATTGGTACCAGATTCGGCTGGGAGGATGAAACACTGACTTGTACATCGGCTGGCCACCGTAATTCATTGTATGGGCCACCTCGCATTAAATAAGCCACTGCGATTCTGAGTGGAAGTAGAATGCGTGCCGCATCCCACAAAGAGGTTGATCAACGGCGGGGACTTTATCCTTTATTTTTTTTATTAATTCATGACGTCGTTTTGGGCCGCTATCGTGTTTCCTCTCATTGCCCGTTCACCATTCTGCGCTGGCAGGTTGCTTCTGGATCGAGAGTGTCATGGCGGTTTCGGTTTTGGGTCACATAATGCCGATGGACCCAAAACCGAAACCACCATTACTCTCGACTAGAGCGAACTCTCGGCTATGCAGAAGCCCACAACATGGTCATCCTAAATGCGAAGTTTCGTAAGCGCGACTACCCACTTCCATTTGCTTCTGCAGCGAGAGCACCAAAACACATACTGATCTTGTCCGTGTTAGACATCGCGACCAAGGGCTCGTAACGGACGCGGAGACTCTGCCGTACGAGACAGTTCCAGGCTTCACCTACTAATCGACCTCAAAGATCACAACACCCATGTCAGAGCATGTCAAGCGATATGGTCCCAAAAGGATTAAATGGTGGCGTTTGAAATGAAAGTAGGCAGCTATGATCTATCGTACTCGACTCTTAATGGTCACGACTGTCGAGGAGACCTGGAAAGGTGCTGCCAAAGCTATACACGAGGTCAACCGTTCTGAACCTACCAGGAGCGTCGCTCACGGCGTGCCCCGCTTTTTGAAAAAGGTTTTTGCATTTGGTAGAGACTCCCACGTAGACCACAAAAGTGGGAATCATTTCCACTGAGCGGTGAACGCCAAAAAAGGAGTGGAAAAGTACGCCTATGTTCTATCATATAAGGGACGTTCAGCGCTATTCTGACGGTGAACTGCGTCGGCGCCAAAAATAGGTGCCAAAATTATAATAAGGACCATCGACTACCCCTATAGACGAACTTTCAGTCAAAAATTTTTTTTGTTCATTTCGGGTTGTGGTAGAATATTGGTCGGTAGTAGTGACCGGATTCTCATACCTTCGTAAAGACGCTGACGAAGCGATGACGTAGTGGGCCCCTGGACAGTCGCATCGCAACTTTGGTGCGCCCGAGGTCCTTTCATGCTTGGCACAAGTGTGGGTGGCCGCGGCATTCGTGGGAAGGGCCTTTCTCGACCAGTGCCGTACAGAAGAACTGCACCCCAGCAGTTCCCTTTAAACTTTGGCTCTCTAGTTTCCACGAAATGTTTGTTCCACTTCAGAAGATGATTTCCCAGTTTGTAACTAGGATTTCTTAGAAAAAATATTCCCAAGGAAAAGTAGTTGTAAACGCGACCAACTGCAAGTAGCATCTATTCCACCTCTGGAGGCCAAGAGGCTAATGAGTCGACCGTGGTACCACCTCAACTTATGGATTACTACAGCGAACTTAGTAACCCGTGTCTCTATCCCACATTGGTTAACACCAAAAGTGCAACACCGCCAAATGTTTAAAGCAAGGGTAATAGAAGGATAGATCAGGGCCATCCTCACATCGAAGTCCTCACAATGACATCATAAAGACATCCGTTTTCTTCCACAGAAAAAAAAAGTATCAGCATAGTTTCAGCGCTGATGTTGTTAACCGCCTACGCCTACAATCTAAAGGGTGCCGCTTCGGGTTAAGTTATCGTGGCGGTAATACTGAAGTTATTAGCGGATTGCGGGTCTATGCGCCTCATGGGAAGAGAACATCGACTAAGAAGGTAATCTCACAGTAAATCCAAGTATAGACACGCAAATTCTTCGGTGGAATTAAAAAAAAAACTCACATGACTGAGATGGCTAGGTAGGTCTTGAAAATTCTCCTGAGCAAAACAAAGCATCTTTTGCTGATATCTTGTGGAATTCCATAGTCAACCATTTGAGCCGCTTCAATTCGAAGTCATCCTTGTTCCCACCACCGCTCCTTCAAGGGGTAGCTTTCCGCCACAAAGGAACGAAATCACAGCAAAACCGAGCTCACCGTTACAAACGGTTGAAGTAGTTGTTGATGAAAAGCTCTGAGTTTCCAGACTTTCCTGGCTAGCATCTTGTAATCTGAACTGTACAATAATTTCAAACAGAAACTAGACCAGCGACAAGGTAACAGTCAAATTCAATGATTTGAAATGAATTAAAGTGAAAGTAAATTAAGTACCTCGCTGCAAGCCTCGGATGATCCTTCGAAGCGGAACATCCCAGGTAGTGTTTTTTCAAACTGTCATATGCTTCTGACATTGAATAGATGCATGTGTGCTTCAATTCCTGCAAAAGCGTGCCACACAATAAAGTCTGTGCAATTGTACATGAATTCGACAATGTGCCGTAAGGGGCTAATGTCGTTTGGACTCCAGCAACTTCGGACCGAGCTCATTTTAAATTGCCTAAGTTACCAAATCCGCTAAAAACTTGTATGTAGGGGTAGTTTAACATCCTGATTACGAATATGACATTCACTCTTGCCGCTGGCGCTAATGAATGAACACTACGATTACCTGCGCTCCGCTAAGGCTGAGCCCAAGAGGTAATCGTAGTGTCATCCCTTGGCGCCAGCGCCAAGAATGAGTGTCATAATTGTAATCAGGATGGTAAATAACCATTGTGTACTCATTTTCAGCGGGTTCGGCGACTTAGGTAATTTAAAAATGAGCTCGGTGCCGAAGTTGCTGGAGTCCAAACGGCATTAGCCGCCGTAAGGCATTGTTCAAAGTCTGCGGCCCAGCGTCTCTCCTGAACGCAGTGGTTCGGCGAAAAAATTTAGATACATTGCAACAAGAAAAGGATATAAAAAAGATCAAAGCAGATTGGAAACAAACTCACTTCTGCAAATGTCGAAGCAGCCGATGTGCAGAATAGGTAGGGCGAGGTAGGGAATAGAAGTGTAAAACAGCAACATGAGAAAAAGCGACCACATGCATCGACGGCCTCAATAAAACATCACATATCTGAAAAAAAGTAACACCGCATTAAATTTACAATGATTAAACGCGTAAAGCCGTTTTTACGACACATTAAAATTTAAATAAGCAACAGTAGTTTACAAAACATGATAAAGGGAAACAAAGAGCACGATTGATTTCGTTTTACCACTTCGCGCGCTCAGCTGATCCAATACAATCCTACGTCCGTGCAAATGACGAAAGCGCTTACATTTTCATGCTTTCCCAGAACTTGGTTTTTCGCTGAGGGGCGGCGCTTGGGAGGCGGGACCACAAAAAAAGGAGGGACCACTGGACCTATTTCGCCTTATAGCGCCCCTCCCCTTCACTTTTTTACCGCGAAAACGGTACAGGGCTGTTCGTCTCGGACCGCACTACCCTCCCAACGCCATATTTTCAACTTCGATACCTGATCGCGGACCGTTCCTTTAATAAGTTTTCAAAAGAAATCAGAAATGGAGAATGGGCCGCCTCCTAGTGTCAAATAATTAAAGAACTAGGTAAGTTGGCCAAACAGAAGTGTTTTGGGGAGTCATATGAAGTGTTTTGAACAAAAGCAAAAATTTTTGAGAGTCAACGATCCCAACATGTGACCTCGTGTCTCTGGAGCAGAGCGCTTATCCCTTACGCCATCGGAATTGCCGGAAGCAGTTATCGTTCCCAACTTGTGCGTACAGAGTAGAGAGTAAATGGTCCGTAACTCCCTTCGGAGAATCGTTCCGAAATTCCGAGGGCAGATTTGAATTCAGCGGCTCGTCCACATATACACATCTTATTGCAAATGGCCGGATCGACCTGTTGGGGTTCATTTTAAGATGACATGGTTCATATAAACAACATGCAAAAGAGGTACAAGAAAAGATAAAATGAAGGAGTGGGATGAGAAATACACCTGCGGAAAAAAAACTTGGAGCAAGCCACAAAATCGCCTTTCAAATAGTTCTGAAGCTTTTATTCAACAGCAAAACTAAGGAAAGGTAAACAGATAGGATAAATCAATAAGAGAAACTACTCGGCGCTCTGCCTTTTATTTGCTCACTTCTGAACTTCACTAAGCTCCTGTGGACAAGATTCAACGGATGATGAACCTGATTCATCATCCGTAGAATAGAGTCCACAGGAGCTTCAGGGGTATCCACGGATATCAACTCCAAATTCCCTAAAATGCATGGGACTGCTCACTCGTATTGGAGGTCCTTCCTTTTGATTCATGCTTCAAGTCACCTCGAAGATTCCTGACGAGGTTGAGGTGAACGCCTTTCCTCGGTCAATGAAAGAAAGACGTGAAAGACATGAACATTAAAGATGATTCTTACAGCAGCTCAAAGTTGGTTCAGGTGATCAAGAGGTGAGAATTCGTACCGTGTAAAAGAGCATCGCTTGTGGGCCCTCTTGGGAGGGACTGCCTGCAGAATCTACCCATTCATTTAAACGTCTAATGTCACCCGAGGGTGGTGGTTGATAATGATAAGAAAGCATTCCATGACCTCTAACGATTCTCCATTCTTAGTTTGAATCTCCATGGATAAGGTTATTCAGTGAGCTCTCAGTTGGACTCAATAGGACGTTAGGTCCAATGCTTCTCTGTGAAGCTAATATTGAAATCTCCGAATCACCTGAACTGTAAGCATTCCGAGAGAAATAGCCTCTTGGCTATATACTTAGCAAATGAGTCTGTTCTGTTTTACCTTTTTAATCAGAAGTAAAAAAGAGAAGCTGTCGAAAATCCTCAATTTGACCCGACACCCTGACCCCCCACTTTGAGCGGTTAAATATCGGTGGAAGAGAAACTTTAAAGGAACGGTCAACGATGACCTATGAAAATGCAACAGGTTATGTGGGAAGGTGTGTGGTCCGGAGTGGAGAGCCCTGTGCCATTTTGGCGGTGGAAAGTTATACGGTAAAAGAATTAAGACGCAAAATTGCCTCGGTGGTACATCCCTTTTTCCAATGGCTCTGCCTACAGACCCTGTCTTCCAGCCAAAAGTAATGCTCTCGAGCCAGTATCATGGAGTGGATGCATTTCATTGCTTGGAGTGGATTGTAGAGTCATACAGTTCAGTACTATAATTCAACCAATGGGAACTGCCCAGCACGCAGTCATTTCGGTCTTCTACCTCTACAAATGTTTGAGGCTAGAGGAAGCCCAACGTATGCTTTTCCCACATACACTTTGACTGAAAACGACTGGACATCAACACATGATCGACTCCGCCCATTTTCTAAAGGGTTTGGCAATCTAGGCTCCGCCCGTAGCGGAATTTTGATGTTTTTTTTTCAGATTTTGCATCTTTGAACAACTACGTGAGGCCATGCCGTCTTCAAAGTGGGCCCAGCCCACCTTGAAGAAGCCCCGACCGCTTTTCAAAATTGGTGCAAATCGACAGTATCGGTTGGCATGCTAAGGGTATTGCTGATCATTCGGAACAAACTTTGCCTGACTTTCTTGTTCCGAGTGACGAACGAGACCCTAGCATGCAAGCCAAGACCCTATACTGCCGATCTGTACCATTTTTGAAAAGGGGCGGAGCTTTTTCAAAGTGGATGGAGCCTCTCACAGTGGGCAGGGCTTCACGTAGCTGTCCAAAGATGCAAAAATTGTGAAAAAATATCAAAATTCCGCTAAAAACAAGTGGCGTGGCCAAGGGACGGTTCCTGGATTGCCAAAATAGAAAATGGGCGGAGTCGGCCATGTGTCGATGTCCAGTCGTTTACAGTCAAAGTGTATGCGGGAAACAGCAAATACAAGAAAAGTCACAGAAGCTGAAATTATGAAACAAGGTTCGAATAACTATGTCCGCGCTGACAAGTGGGAATGGCCGTCGGCAGAGGCGTCTGGCGTGATCTGGTTGATGGATTGCCCGGACTAGTAAGTGTGGTGAATTTGATTTGGAAAGTGGTTGCGAATTTGGTTTGAAAAGTTATGAATTTAAAGTGAAAATTGTATATATCGTCGTCTGCGATGACGATCCCGATCTATCTTCCTCCCTCCACGTCTGGGGCTAGAACCTCTCTCAGCGTGTGCCCTTAAAGGCAGTTGGCACGATGGTTTCCTAGTTTTCCTAAAATGCTAGTAGGGAGCTATGTAGTGGGGAAATGGCGAAAGCACGGAGTGAAACGGTCAAAATCCTGTGAAGAAAGAGCGTTCGTTCTCAGTGACTTGTAAATCGATTTCGGACGAGTTTCCCGTACGCATCTTACCAATCACCGCTACCGAAAATACCGCTGCATATTTGTACCCATATATGCATGCAGCATCACCGCCGCTTCATACCAATCCCTTTGCTTCATAATTTCCTCAGCAAATGAATGAACACGAGTGTCAGAAACGGTCGTCCGTTTGTGGGCGGGCGGGCGAAGAAGGCGTTCGGGACGTAAAGCTGTAGCTCAATAGGACGTTACAGAGGTACGTTCCTTGGAAAAGGCTTCACGCAGCGCCTGTCCGAGGTCACAGAATTCTGTTGATCCAGTTGTACAAATTCTACACCTGTATAGCGATTTATCGTGCCAACTGCCTTTAAGTACTAACATGAGGCGGACTCATGATATGAATGGTCCGCTCGGTCAGTCTGCTATGTTCCATATACTAACGGCTACCTCTTCTTTCAAGGTCCCGAGTAAGACGAAGACGTCCATTTTTACAGGTTCATCCTATCCGTCACAAACGAGACGCAGGTTTCTATATATACATAATAAACATTTTATAACCTCTATTATTGTCGTTACCGCTGCATTATCCTTAAGGGCATAGAACAATACCTGTTAACCACCACAGTATATATACACTCCTCATCATTACGGACTGTCGGGCGTATCAGCCAGAAGGAGTGCGCACACTGTTTGAAGCCGTTCTCAGCCTTTTCTTTGAAGCGCGTATGCGACAAAAAGTGGTAGAAAACGAGTAATACGAAGGATATAATGCTGTCATGTGATTTGATCGCTTCAACAACTGGTGCAGAAAGACATTGGAACGCGCCGAAAACGCGCCGCACTGGACCGCCCGACAGTCCGTAATGATGAGGAGTATACCCCCCCTCCGTACACTCTCACCACTCGACAGCTCGATCGCATCAGAGGAGGGAACTATGAGGGCGGGGGCGGGGAGGGGGAGGGGTGGTGGTTATCGAGCCACCTTTCAGGGGTGTGTTCGTACCTGCTCGACCAAACCCCAACTAATGATGTGCCCTACTAAAGTTACCGTATTGTTAACAATACCGCACTAGTACCGCAAATATCTTACTACCGCATACCAAACCGAAGCATTTAAAGTCTTTCGCACTGCATGATTAAGCTGTGCAAGGTACAAGACCAACTTGCGTTGTTCCGTTAGCATAAAAAGCCCTCCACGGAGTTCCCAGCATAAAAATGGCTACATTACCCAAGGGACATATAAAAATAAACAATTAAACATAGCTATATTTGACAATATATGTATACTCATACTGTCAAATATGGCTAATCGCCTCGTCTATACTAACAGGAACTTCAACCATCAATGATGCAGGCAACGCTTATAACGCAGAATGATGATGAAAACAGCAACTAGTAGTACAACCAGTAATACAACGCTCACACTATCATCATCCACAGAGCAACAAAAAAGAAGCACCTCGTAATTACGAAATTCGTGTAATTTAAGGCGGTCTTAGTTCATGCATGATACAGGAATTCAGAACCGCGGAATTGGGAGAACAACGGAACTTGCAAGAGAAGAAAATACGTAAATCCATTTTCAGAACCGCAGAATTTGCAGAAGTGTGGAATGTGCAGAAATGCCGAAATGCAGAAATTCCGCCTGGTGAGGCTAAGCGACCAATCCCTATAAAGTCGTTGTCCGTCGTTTCTGCATTTCTGCAAATTCCGCGAAATTTGCAGAAATGCAGTTTTTAAATCGATACGTATGCATTTCCTTTCCGCAATTTCCATCATTTCCATAACGTCGTCATGTATGAACGCGGCCGACATGCAGAAGTGCGC